CTTATCATAGGAAGTAATAAGAAATGACTCTTTACATTAAAGCAGCACTAAGTAGGAATTCCGTTTTTGTCAAACAGCGACCCCTAGAGTCGCTGTGGAGTACTTGTACTGTCGTGAATAGCACTCACGCAGAGATGGCTCGCACTCACGGCCGGATCCCCTCCCCCTGTACACCGGTACCTGTTCAGTAGGATGGACGCTGTAACTAGTGGAAATAAGGTATGGCCCCTTTAAAGGGTCATGAAACCCTAAACCAAATTTTCTGAGATTTTATCAGAGGTATGTGTGTTGAACACCATTGAAGACAATGTTAGCATCTGTTAGATTTAATAGTAGGGTGAAAATGGTTAAATTTTAGTTTATTTCCGCTATTTTCGTCTTCCGGGTTTAAAATCTTCATCGCAGGCTGTGACGTGGCAGAGCACAGTATAGTGCGTTGATGACTCATCGGTGTCTCATAATTATTAATGAGACTGAGTTTTCATATCCTATGAGAAGACACGGTCTCTTAATTATTCATGACACCACGTGGATCTTTCCAGTGACAGACATGTCAAACTGTGATATATCGCGTAGTAGATGAGAGAGGCAATCATGGGACGCACGCAAGTGTTTGTTTTCGTGGTGCAAAAGTCCAATTGGGTTGAATATGTTTCCCCGCGATGCTGCCCGGGCTAGACTCTGGCTCTGGGCGGTTGGTTTTCCATCAACCACGGACACATCTAAACGTGTGTGTCGCAAACATTTTTGAGCTTCGAGAATTGGAAAATGGTGGACTTCGCCTTGTTGACAACCAATGCAGGTTGCGTCTTGCGAGTGATGCGGTACCAAGTCCCGAGGACTTTTCTATCCCTTCAGAGGTGTGTGTGTGTGTGTGTGTGTCTAAAATGAGAAGTCATCCACCTCCACAGAGCCATCTTTATTATGGGGGTTCAGGGGGGGCGTAGATCTAGGCTATGCACGGAACGTTTTTTTAAGCGGAAAATTAATAATTTTCAAATATATGTATAGTGTCTATAAACAACTATATATTTTATAATGACATTATAATTATACATGTAGCCTACATTAATATGTTCTCAATAGAATTACGATTACTGTAGGCTTACTAGGCTAATATAGCAGGGCATTCAGTTACTTTTGAAAGGACAATAATAAAGTGTCGTATTTCATAAGACTTTAACTTTGCCAGCTATAAAAAAAAATGTAGCATTTCCTCACAGTCGATACGCATGGGATACTGGCGATGACAGTGATGGCCTTACCACACCCCTTCTCACAGCCATCCACGCCCATTTAAGTTGCATTTTTCAAAAAGATTGTGAGCTAGACTTGAGCTGAAAGAGGGGGGTTTCATGACCCTTTAAGAGCTGCGCGCGCCCAACACCACATGTATACGGCGCCGGGTTATTTCTGTTTGATGCTCATTTTATCAGATCTGTTTTTTTAAGCAATTCGTTACCTCGCGAGACCTGATATCACACGATACTTCCTAACACTGAGGCTCGCCGGCCCAAAGTTGCAAGGGTGGTTTTGCGGCTCACAGGCACCAGGGGGGTGCGAGACGACCACCATTCAACACGAAATCAGTAATATAAACATTACAATGACTCCAAAGCTGTTCGGTTAAGGTAAAAAAGTTACTTAGTTCACCTTTAAGGTAGTAGCCTAGTGAGAACACGGTGTTGTTGGGGAATCACTTTTTCTCTCTTTTTCATCAAACCGCAGTTTTTGCAAGTTCCCGCAATTTCATCGCATAAAATTGCATAAATATCCCGCATATTCCATCGCATTTTTTAAGAAAACGTGCCGCATAATCAAGGATTTTTGCCCTCAACAATCACAAAAAAACTCCGCATTTTTCTGGAAGGACTGACCTTTGGGTCACATCACCATACAGCTTTTGTCCCCCCCCCCACTTTTATAATGGCTGCTACGCCCCTGACTACACTTCCCAGAATCCTTCTTGTCTCCACACCTGAACTCACTCCCTCAATCACCCACCTGTTCTTCGTCATCATCATCCGTGTCACCTGTCCTCACCTCATTATTGTTCATTGGTATCTGTATTTAGTTTCCTTCTGTTCAGTTAGTCTTGGGCGGTTCTTGTTTATGTTACACAGGTGTGTTTATTCTCTGCCTGTCTGCTGTTTTGTTCATAAGTAAAGTTTATTGAATTGGAAATCTGGACACTTGTCTTCATCTACCTTCACCACACCCGTGACAAGTAGATGCATAAGATGCTCATGCATCATGATTTTGCATACCTAAAAAAGTTATAAAAAAGTTTATCATAATAATCTAACATTTTATAATAAATGTTATAATAAAGACCTCTCTAATGGTTTATTATCATTATTATGGTACGACCGTTTGATTGACGCACTTACTGTCCAATGATTCTAGGTGGTCTTGGAAATGATTGGCTGGAGTTTTTCGAGTCCTGCCCGTTCCACAGATGATTAAATTGCTTAATTTTCATTTCAGTGCTTCTAACTCAGTGGCTGTAAGTGGGTTAGGAATAGGATTTCAATTGATTTTGAAAAAATGGTCAAAAAAGAAAATCACATACCCCACCTTTAATATCCTTTTACATTCTAATTCTAAACAAACTTTTATTTTTGGTTTATTATTTTTAAGGCCCAGTATGGGAACTGACCAAAACCTCCAGCTTCAACCCAAAAGTCCATCCTACAATTTCGGATACATCAGTGTTAGACAGCGAATCCATCTCTTATTTCATCAAATAAAGCAAAACAGATTAAGCTAAAAAAAAAAAGAGGCCACTTTATCATCAAACAAAGCAAAACAGATCAAGCTAAAAAAAGGCCACTTTATCATCAAACAAAGCAAAACAGATCAAGCTAAAAAAAAATGGCCACTTTATCATCAAACAAAGCAAAACAGATCAAGCTAAAAAAAAGGGGCCACTTTATCATGAAACAAACCAAAACATTCAGTCGTACCATTGTCTTCTATCTTATGCTTAAGAAGCTCTCAAGTCAAATCCCCATCCGACCCATTCTTTGTGGATGACTCCGACCACCCCGTCACACGTTCTTGGTTCCAAATAACACCTCAAAAAAACAATCATCCAATCCGGCATCCCAGGGTTCTTTGTTAATCTATCTCCCGTTGCTGTCCAGTGATTATTTGCTTTTTTGGGGTAGTGCTCTGTGTTCGAGCCAAATTCCAAGCTCAGAGCCCTCTCCTTGGACAGCACGCCAAATACGCACATTTTATACTATATCTGATTATATGTATGTGTGAACTTGTGAAATTATGTTTTATTAAAAAAGTTGGGAAGGAGCACGTTCAGATAATCTACCCAGTTAGCTTGAGAGGAGGCTTATATATAGAGCCAACTTACCTCTGTTCCACAACAGTTTTTCAAGCATCCCTCCTCCACCCCAACTCCTCACTCTCGGTTATTCCTATCCCGGCCAGAGATGGGGAAGGGTGCTCCTGGTTCAGGCCAAATTCCGAGCTCAGAGCCCTCTCCTTGGACAGCATTCCAAATACGCATATTTTATACTATATCTGATTGTATGTAAGTGTGAACTCGTGAAACTTTCTGGAGGATTTGTTTTGTCCCAACTGCCCAGTCATTTTATAAAATAGTCCAACGGCGATCACATCGACTATAAATGCCTCTGAAGTGTGCGATCAGTCAGCAGACGGTTGGGGTACAGTGTTTGGCGAAAGTATAAACAAGGCTTAACCCAGCTTAATAATGGCGCTTTTCCACTGCTGGTATGGCTCGGTACGGCTCAGTACGGTTCGGCTCGGCTCGCTTCGCTTTTCCACTGCATGGTACGACTCGGCTCAGCACGGCACGGCACGGCTCGGTTCGCTCAGTACCGCTTCAAAGTGGGTGGGATTTAGTCTGATCGTTATAGTTTATCCGCTCCTCAGCAATCAACTAGAGGAACGTCTGCACTTCGTCCACTGACCACGATTCAGCCATTACTTTTTTGGAAGTTTTCTTTCTTTCTTTTTTCTTCAAGAAAGTCGTTTTAAAACAGGTGCTACAGCGGTGGCTGACTGACTGTTACTATTTAAATCTAGCGGGTTTGATGTCTCGTAAATACAATGACGCTGGTAGTGACGATTCTGTCTGACCAAGCAGTGATCTGCATGTTTTCACGTCATATTTTAGTATCGGTACAGTACGCTTGGAACCTCAATAGAGGTGGTACCATTTAAAGCGAGCCGTAGCGTATCGTACCATGCAGTGGAAAAGCGCCACAAGTGAGCCGTACCGAGCCGAGCCGTACCATACCATGCAGTGGAAAAGCGTCAAAGCATGCCGTACCGAACCGTGCCGTGCCGTACCGTACCATGCAGTGGAAAAGCGCCATAAGTTAACTATAGCCCCTTTCACACAGAGATTCCGGAAAATACACGGATAAAGCGACCCGGGATTTGACCCGGGTTCGTTTGATTTTGCTTCATTCACACTGCCAGTGATTTGCCGGAATCAGAGAGCGCGTTCACACACAACCCGTGTATGTTCCGGAAAGACACGTGACATCGATGTTACATGTAATGTCTCAGCAACATGCATAGTTTGCTTATGAGCTGCGATTTCTCTCTGGAGAAACCACGCTTGTGCATTTTTTTCTCTGATTCGATCATAAACTAGCGCATTACGTACCGTTTCACTAGCCTGCTTTCACTTCACTTCAGCGTCATCATTACGACACGGCATTGGTTACGGCTTTTGTTCACACAGCGCGCGTTCCGGGTCTGAACACGGCAATGTTACTAGGTCCCCAACCCGGCATCGATCCCGGCATCAGTCCCGGGTCGTGTTTGCGTTCACACAGAAGGCACTCTGGCAATTTGCCGGCAATTTGCCGGGTTCAAAGCGCTGTGTGAAAGGGGCTTATCAGTAAGCCAATAGCAGTTACTAATTATTGAGTTACCAGTTTGAAAACAATTATTAATTTTGCATTTCCATCTGGTGGTGCTAGTGGTGCAAACATAACAAACATCACCTTTAAATGCATAAAATTGTGTATCAAACATACTGTGCTTTGGACTCTGAAGTCTGACAGAGACGCCATTAGTTTGTCCAGCTCTAATGTAGCAGATGTAGCTGATGGTTTCGCTGAGCTAGAAACAGAGAAAAAAAAAAAAAATCACCATCACTGTCCAACAGACATAAATACTTATTGATTGTATACAGTCTACATCCATACAAATTTGATCTTTGTGAATTTAACATTTTTTTTCCAGAATGTTTCATTACTGCATACGAAGACATTTATTTAAAAAAGATGTCTACAGGGATATGCCATCAGTTAGTATGTAGTAGGTATGTAATCTCATACCTGTCATAAGAGATGGAGAATGAGTATGTAGAAAAATTTGTATACAGATCAATATACATAGCAAATATATCAGTGCACTAACCAAGTTGAGGACGGACCAGACTTTGAAGACTTATCATCTTTTTTGGTGCTGGGGAATTGAGCCAAAATCTCATCTAAGAAAGACAAAGGGACAACAAATGCTTCAGAGTAGCTCTCCCCCGAATGGAATGCTTGGGTGCAGCTTACTGAATACCGCTCACTAAATACTGGATACTGCCTACCCAGATTGCAAGGTGACATTGATACAATGTTGAGTTTTGTTCCAAACCATCATTTTGGTTGAGATTGACATCTCAATGATGAAAGTGTGTTGGATTAGCATTGAAATTTTGATGAAAGACGACAGCACACGTAGTTGGAAAAAGTGATTTTGAGCTAACATTTGTACATTTGATTTGTAGTTGATCACCACAAGATCATGCAGAAATGTTTCTCTGCAGAACACTTGTGGGTGTTACCCAATCAGTGCGGCCTTTTCAAACTATGATGGGCATTTTCAACCGCTTTACCTGATTTGCTCCAATCTTTTAGGGGCTTGGTTTAGGGGTGGGCCTTCATGACTTTAGCAAGTCAGATAAAGCGGTTGAAAAACACCCATCTTGTCTCAGTTATGTAGGTAGTAGCCTCCGTTCCCTGATGGAGGTAGAGAGACGTGGTGTCGAATTCTGACACTAAGGGTGACTCTTGGGAGCCCCAAACACCTCTGACGTATTCAGAAATGCCAATGAAATTGGCATGTGGAATTTGCAGGTCTGGCCATGCCCCTGGGCATACGGACATCACACGCTCAGGTTTGTGCTGAGGATCCGAGGTATGTCATGGTGTTGTGGTGGCAATTTTAATGATATTCATTGATCTTTAGTAAAATATAGATGATTCAAAGAATGTCACATGTGTGTCTCTCACTTGTAGTGAGAGAGGATTCTGTTTATGTACCTGGGGAGGCAGAAGAGGGAGACACTCCAGAGAACAGACGAACAAGGACCTCTGACCTAGATGTCAGAAGGCCATTTGGTGCAGGGGAGCTTAGTGGGCCAACTAGTCTATGGAAAACTACTGGGAGGAAGGCTCTGGGGGGAAGAAGGCCTTGAAACTAAGATAAAAGCTAGTTCAGTCTGTCTGGGGGTGTGTCACTCTTCTGCACAGGGTAACAACTGTGTATTAGACTGCTCCTATTCTTGCAAGAATAAATACTTCTATTTTATATAATTTGACCCTGAGTGTCTCTTACGCAGTGATGTTTGTTTGAGATGAATTTTTGCCACAACAGTTTTGGTGTCAGAAGTGATATTCCTTGGACGTGCCTCCTGGACCTGAGATCGGACGGTGTTTGGCCACCTGGACTAAGTAAGTTCCAGCTCTACCTCGTAAACTTGAGAGAGAGGGGCCGACCGATATCAGGGCCGGGAGAATCGACCACTGGAATCTAAAGAACCCGGTGGCAACAGAAGCATCTCTGGTAAGAGACAGTTCAATTTATTTTCTTTTGGGTAAGTTAATTAAATTCGGTTTAATTGGGAGAAGAGTGAAATTGAACCATATTGGCTGAAGGCTGTTTCTGTGGTACGTAATCTGAGATTAATTGAGATCTATATAGATCAAGAAATTTCAAACAGATACGAGGGAAAAATCTGAGATTAATTGAGGTCTGTAACAGAACAAGAAATTTCAAGCAGATAAATAATCTGGGATTAAGTGAGAACTGTAACAGATCAAGAGATTTCAAACAGATAGGTACCCTGAAAATTAGTTGTTCCACGACGGAGCAAATTGTTTTTAGGTACTGAGGCTAATTAGGGGGAACCAGAATTTTTTGGTAAACCATAATTAGGAGGGCACTAATAGTGCAACCCGACCGATTTGGGTTAAAAGAAAAGAGTCGGATTTGTTAGGGACGCCTAACAGATTAAAGAAAACGCGCGTTGAAGAGAAATCCACAGGGAACAGAAAACAGCCAGTATGGGAAAATCTCAGAGTAAGCATGCCAAATTTGATACACCGGTTTTCTGTAGAACTAGGAAAGTATGGGGGGAAATGTATGTTTTAGATATTGGGAAAAAAACTGAGAAAATACCATGATTTCCCCAGGGAGGGAACACTGAGCACAAATAGACTAAGAGTGTGCGAGAATCAGTGGAACAGGGCAGCGGGACAAAAGGTTGTTGTGGCTGCGTTCAACATGTGTGTAAAAAATGTGAACAGATAATGGATTGTTCAGTTGAAGATAAAATGTCGAACTGCCAGGAGAAATAATGTTTTTTACTTCTTCATCCAGTAAATGGATGCATGACATTAGATGTCTATAGAACTTAAATTTATATGACAAGGATTGAAGTAGCAAGAAGCAATAAGGCTGTCTGTGTGAAATAGAGGGAACTGTAAGTGAGACTTGGTGGAAGAGGGAAGTGAAAAAACAAAAAGGTTGGTGTGTGAGATATGTGTGTGTGGGGATTGTTCAAACAATCATGTACTGGTTAGATAATGAAGGAACTGGCATGTTTGAGAAAAGAAAGGAGAGGATAATGAAGGAACTGGCATGTAGGGAAAAGAAAGGAGGAATATAGTAGAAAACTATATGTGATGAAAATAGAAATGGTCTGACAGAATTTATGGAAGTCAAATTAACTGTTTAAATGATATGAAAAGTTTTAGAATAAAATAAGGCATTGTATGATTGACAGGGATTAACATGATATGAAGAATGTTTTAAGCAGAATGGGGAACAATTCTAGATTTTGATAAAATAATGATTGAAATGATGATATATCTGCCTTATTTTATTAATGTTAAGAAAATAAGGGTATTGAAGCAAGTAGCTATAATGGTTGTCTGTGTAATTTACGGACTGAGTAATATAATCTGTTTTGGAGAAACAGTAGAGATAAGACTGAGATAAAATAATGATAATATTAAGTTGAATCTGCAGACTAACCATGTGATGGAAGAAAAAGGCTTCAAACCAGTTGTAATGAAAATAATGATGTACAAATTGTTACACTTTATGAAGAGTAACGGAACAGTCCGGGAAAATAAATAAATAAATAAATAAATAGTGAGACAGAAGAGAGCAAATGCTGTAAACAGCTCTGCTCTGAAGATCTCACTTTGAAGAGATTTGCAGATGATGTTTTGTAAAAGATAAGCTGGGATAACAGCAACAGTGCTTGCTTATTCGCCCGGTTTCCGGATGTTAGACATGTACTTGTAATTAGTGTTGTTGATGATAATACCAAATTAGTAAGGTAAAGACAGAAAACAAATTCGAATATTTTGAGCATTTTCTGTGCTGCTCATGAAATTATGTTCTGCCAATAATAATGATGAAGAGTATGATTTGGCTATTGTGATTGAATCCGCCATTGGTGGATGGTCAAAGGAATACAGAGAACTGCTTATCAGTGGGTCTGTTTACATTCCTGAATGGGACACACACTGCTTCAAGGGTGTGCAGTTAAGTTGGAGCCGTTTGCAAGCTCACAGTGATCAAACTATAGTCAAGGACAGGTGTCTGATGCTGAAGTTGAGGCTGAAACAAATTCACTAGATGACAGAGAGTGTTTTAACGGTGGTCATCAGGACAATTTAATAGGTAACTGTAAATGACCACCGACAAGGTGTTTAAAAATGTGATAAAATGACAACACATTTCTGGTAATAATATTGGTTTGAAAATAGATCAGTGTTTAAATGACGACAGTGACAATTTTTGGTCTGAGAAATAAGAGATAAAAAACAAGGTCAAAAGATTGAAGTCTTAAAGTGAATCCTTTTGTGACTCCAACAAATGTGAGTTGCAAAATATGTAAAGGTAATATAGAGAGACAGATCTCAAAGATGATTTATAATAACTGCAAAAGATGCAGAGTAGCCTTGTCAAAGTTAGTGTGAATCCTGATTGGAGACTGATAAACTCCTAGAAGAGAAAACTTTGAAGTCAGAGATTAAGCTATGGTAATTGAGATTGAGAAATGTGAAACGTTATTGAGAACTAGAATAATTACCATTATGTAAGAACAAATAAGCAGAAGCAGTAGGCTACTGAATTAACAGTTGCTAAATGTAAAATGTGTTGAAAGGCATCTGATTAAACAAACAGCTTGAAAAGTTGACCATGAAAGAACTAGAAGCTGATGTTTTGCTTTCAAAAGATAAGTTTGTTATGGGCTGTATTGAAACAGTTCGCTTATCTAAAATCTGATGTGTGCTGTGCCTGAAACAGCCAGTGCGACAGAGACTCAATCTGAGTGGAAATTTGTAATGTCTAAATTCCCTGAGATGGGCAAAAGACAAATATAAATAATATGTTTATTTGAAACCGTATGTAATTTCTGGCAAAGATGCCTTAAGCTGGGATAGAGTTAAAAGATGATAGATAAATGTTTGATGTTAGAAGTATATGAGAGAGCAGTGTACCATCCAATAGAGTCTCAGAGTCTCTCTCATTCAATGAGTCAGCTAAAAGCTGGTATCTGTGATAATAAGTAAAGCACAGTGTTTCAGTTGAAGATCATAGACACAGAGATGTTTTAAAAATAAAACTGAATGACTTTAAAGAAGTATTTAAAATAATAATACAGATAGAGATGACATTTTGATTAGCTTATTTTAGGACCAGTAACTTCTTTGTCTCATTTAGTCTCCACCATTCAGGACCGATGGCTCCGGCTACAGATGAAGTACACTGAATGTACGGTTGTGATCTAAATTCACTGAGTATAATCCAAGTAGCTAGGTTGTTGCTTTTAAGATAGTTAATGGATTTAAGTGATTAAATACTGTTGTTATTGACCTGTCTCCCTGTGTGAACACTATTAGGCAATCCGAATGGCTCTGGTGACTCTTGAACATGCCTTTCCTAAGCTCCAGAAAACAGCTGAGTTCTGTTGAAGAGAACTGATTGTGTGATTGGAAAGAGCGGTCACCAGTGGGCACGAGTGACCATCTCGATGACGGGTAAGACCTTCTTTGGCCAGACAGGGGGCAACCCAAGCCAGAGTGGATCACGTAAAGTCATTGGGCATCTCAAGATGGAGGTGTTTATGTGAGAAAGGTATGAGAGTGGAGCGGATGACTGTGAGGCCAGCAGCATCCTTTATCGTTAGGGCGGATGAGC